CAACACACTTGTGATTCCAGTGCTTGGGAAGCTGAGGCAAGAGGATGCCAGGCTAATTTGGGCTCTGTAGTGAAAGAGAGAGAGAGAGAGAGAGAGAGAGAGAGAGAGAGAGAGAGAGAGGAAGACAAGAAGAAAAACAAACAAACAAACAAACAAACACAAGTGTTGCTGCTGCACACCTTTAACCTCAGAACTTGGGAGGCACAGGCAGGCATATCTGAGTTCGAGGCCAGCCTGGTCTACAGAGAAAGTTCCAGGATAGCCAGGGCTATACAGAGAAACCCTGTCTCTAGAAACAAAACAAAACAAAACAAAACAAAACAAAACAAAACAAAACAAAACAAAACAAAACATAGGCAGTTGAGGCAGGAGGGTCAGGAATTCAAGGCCAGCTTGGGTTACATGAGATCCAGTCTCAAATAGCTGTGCGAGGGACTGGAGAGCCAGCTCAGTATTTAGAGCATTGGCTGCTCTTGCAGAGGACTGTGGTCCAGTCCCCAGGACCCATAGGGAGGCCCACAATGGGCTTTAACTTCAGCTGCAGGAGACCTGATATCCCCTTCTGGCTAACATTGAAACTACATGTACACATAATTAAACATAAAAATAAAGTCCTTATTTAAAAAAAAAAAAAGTCAAGCCGGGTAGTGGTGGTGCATGCCTTTAATTCCAGCACTTGGGAGGCAGAGGCAGGTGGATTTCTGGGTTTGAGGCCAGCCTGGTCTACAGAGTAAGTTCCAGGACAGCCAGGGCTACACAGAGAAACCCTGTCTCGAAAAAAAAAAAAAAAAAAGGTGGCAGACCTGTCCTGCTGGTACTTGGGTGGCTAGCCTGGGCCACACAGAGAGGTCCTACATCAAAATAAATATATAATGGCAGAGCCAGTTGTGGTGGCACTCTGCTGTCATTCCAGCATTTGAGAGGGTGAGGCAGACAACAAACAAACATCTTCAATGAGATGTGCTGACATTTGCCTTCTAGCTTAGTGCTCAGGAAGCTGAAGCAGGATTGCCAGGAGTTCAACATCAGCCTGGGGTTCACTGTCTCAACTGAAACAAAGCATGTTCAGCTTGGTTGCCCTGGAGCCAGTCTTGTACCCTCCCTTTTTGTGGGGCCCTTCTGGGACCCCAATATCCCTGAGCTAGAACTGACTCAGTGGCTCCTGCCAAGCTCACCTGATCTGTTCTTTGTAGCTGGCAGGGACACGTGACATTATTGCAGGATCTGTGTGGTTCATACCCACTGGACTGAGGGGTGGGTGGCCAATTAACATGCTTTCGAGGGATGAGGTTGAGGGAGCAGCTGCACTCAGCTGGCTTCTCTACTCCCAATAGTCTCCAGGGACCCCTACCCATACCTTGGTGTCTCAACCTGCAAGAGGACGGGTTAGGGATATCTGCATCTTTGACGGCAGCTCTATCAGCCATACAGACCTGGGCTCCAGTCACGCGCGCTCACTGACCTGGTGCTCGTGCTTTCTGCCTGTTCTGTCCCGTACTGCCGTGGGGCTTTCCTATCCAGGCAGGGTGAATACAGAGTGATGGTGTTTACAGGTTTCATACTAAGTTTGGGGTTTGAATGAGAAATAGAGCTTGTCTCCCATAGAATCCCTCAGTGAGGGGCTGGGGGCAGAAGTCATCAAGAAAAATGCGCAGGGGGTGGGGCTGGAGAGATGGCTCAGCGGTTAAGTGCACTGACTGCTCTTCCAAAGGTCCTGAGTTCAATTCCCAGCAACCACTTGGTGGCTCACAACCATCTATAACGGGATCTGATGCCCTCTTCTGGTGTGTCAAGAAAGTGACAGTGTACTCACATACATTAAAAAAAGAAAGAAAGAAAAGGGGAAAAAAGGAGAAAACTGTGAAGAGACTGAAGATAGAATCCCTAGTTGGTAGTTACATCCCACTGAGACAGCTGTGGGTTACTCACACGTTTCCAGAGCGGATACTGAGGACACCTGCCCAAATCACAGAGTCTGAAGAGTTCAGTAACCCGAGGCAGGGAGGAGAGTGGCTGCAGGTGTCGGGCTCCACAGTGATTATCCTCCCGAGACAGGCACCTCTTCCCTGCAAGTAGCCTCCAGCTGAAAGAGGGCTCCCCAACTTGTCCCACCCTGCCGTGCCCCTTCCTAATGCTGTGTCTCTGTCTCCCCACTCAGGGCTCCTGTTGGTGCTTCTGGTGGCTGGGGGTGTGGTGGTGGCCTTGGTAGTGCTGGGTGCTCTGTTGTGGGGTCTCAGCAGGTATCACCGGGTGGACTCAGGTAAGATTACCTGCTCAGGTGAGTTTCCCAGGTAAATGATGCTACCACCCCTGTGCACCCTGCTAAAGGTGCTGGGATGGGGCTGGGATAGGAGGCAGCCTCAGTCATGCCAAGACAGCTCTTGCCACTCTTAACTGGCTGGCGCCTTCTGACTTATGTCACCTGCTCCTAGGAGATTCTTTCTACAGCAATGTCCTCTACTGGCCTACCAGGGAAACTCCACACAGGGCCTGAGGCCTGGCCTAAAAGGAGGGCCTTGGACAAGGCCAGGGACCAGAGAGCCCTGGTCATCTATCCACCTTCCCCCAACCTTCGAGAGGATTCCACTTCTGATTCCCATCTGAAGCCTGTGGTGGAATTGGGGTGCTACCAATAATGAGTTACTTGTGGGTCCCAGGGTCCCTGGAGATGGCCTGTGTTATGCCCAGTTCTCAAGAACCCCAGGAGACCACCAGGGACCATGATGGCAAGGCAAGCACACAAGAGTCCTTTTTATTTGAGTTCAAAACCAGGACACAAGCCTCCTGCTCAGCAGGTTAGGAATGCAATGCTCTGATCTAAGGGCTTATACAGGTGAAAGGTAGAAGCTAGGGCTTTCGAGCTTTGGCATTACATGATTGGGTAAGAAGTAAAAGAATGCTATCCTTCAAACTGATAACGTTTGTTCAGACAGCAAGGAGGGACCATACATCTGGAAAAGGACCTTTTTGACCTGGGAAGAAATGACACATTTCGTTATCAGTGGCCATTGCATTTTTACAAGCTGGCTGCAGCTGTTATGTCTCTTTTTGACTGCTGGGAACACTTCGTGGTCTCTTTCCCATAGCTGAAGGGTGGGGGCCTTATCACTTCAAGGACATTACTTTTCTGCCTCCTTCAAAGACAGGAGACAGCTGTACCAAGGGGAATGCTGGCTGTTTAATTCAGCTGGGGCTAACGTGGAGGCGAGTGCTGGCTGCTTTTTGTCTCTTTACCTGAACATCTCACTTTGGCCAGGAAGTGTCTGCTCCACTTTTGAGTTCTCCTTGTTTGTTTTGAGACAGGTCTCACTATGTAGCCCTGGGTGTCCTGGAACTCACTATGTAGAGCAGGCTGGCCTCAAACTCACAGAGATTTCCTGTGATGTGTTTATAAAAAGATAAAGAAATAAAGAGAGTATGTTCTGTGGGTGTGTGGTGAGGTATGGGGGAAGCGGGCCCAGGCAGAGGCATCCCTTCCCCCTGAGGGGCCAGTCACACGATGGTGTAGCATAGAATAGAGTTTATTCAGGGCTTGGGGAGGGGAGCCCGGAGTGTAGTAGAGGCAGAGAGAGAAAAAGAGAGGAGAGAGAGAGAGTAGAGAAGCAGAGGAGTAGAGGCCGGCCATGAGCACCTGGAGAGACAGGGAAGGGACGAGGGGACAGAAGGATCAAGAGAGCAAGAGAGAGAGGAGGGGCAAGCAGCCCCTTTTATAGTGAGCCAGGACTACCTGGCTATTGCCAGGTAACTGTGGAGAGGAGCATACCTGGCTGTAGCCAGGTAACTGTGGGGGTGGAGTTTAGACAGAATGCTAACAACCTGGCTCGGCCTCCCAAGTGCTGGGGTTAGTCCTGTGTCTTATATTTATATAATAGGGGCTGAAACAATGGCTCAGGGGTTAAGAGTTCACACTGTCCTTCCAGAGGGCCAATTCCCAACAGCCACTTCTAATGGCTCAGAACTGCAGACATCTGCATGTACACACACACGCACACGCACACAAATAACAAAAGTCAAACAATGTTTGTTTATTTATTTAGTTACTCATTTTGTGATTATAATTATACCATTTCCTGCCATCTCTTGCATTTACATATTCAAGGAGCAGGTAGTCCATACCTAGGCCTGGTTGGACCCTTCCTCTGAGAAGGCCAGGCTGACTCCTTGACAGGCTTTAAATTGACAGTTCAGAAGACTAGGCCTAAGAACTGGGCAAGTCCAGGGAAGCCCGGCAAGTCAGTTACTAAAAAAACCCTAGGCTTTAGGCAGCTAGACTGAAGCTGCTCTGCCACCTGGCCTGAAGCAAGGGCAATGGGTCAGCAACAGTTTCCACCCTGCATGCCCCAGTAATGGAATGTCCCTAGAGAAGGAGTAAGATAAAGGTCAATCCCCTAGTGTGCTTTAAATCGGGCCTGTGAGCTCACTTGGATGTCTCTCCATCTTGGAATGGGAGAGCCCCGCATGCTGGACTTCTGCAGAATAAAACACTTTGCATTTACATACTATTGAGTCTGGGGCATCATTCTTCAGTGACTCATGGATCCTTACATACCCTTAGTGGGCCCCAGGATGGCCTCTTCTCATGCAAGGAAAGGAAAGTTGAGGGTCGGAGCTATCAGCATGTACCGTTGTTCTGTGTCTGCACATCACCTTGAAGTGACAAGGGCAGTGGCTGCTTTCTCTTCCTTCCTCTGGATTTCTCAGGTGTAGGGGAGGTGTGTGTGGGGGGCAGGGATGATAGATGTCTACCTAGGAGGCCAAAGGTCCAGCTGCAGACTGAGATGAGGCAGAGCTGTCCCTGACTCTGGGGACATTGAACTTCTAACCCCAGCTGGGTCCCTGTGACAAAGGCTTGGGCCAGCTTTGTCATTCTGTGCTCAGTACCCACAGGCATCTGTGCTGGGCATGGCTTTAGGGATACTCCAGGGTCTGAGTGGTCACCTCTCCTGCTGAATCAGGAGTCTCTCCCCATAGCCCCAAAAGAACATTAGGGAATGACAAGGTTTTAAGATTAACTTTTATTACATTTATTTATTAATTTATGGTATGTGACTTGTTTGTAAATCAGAGGACAACATGTAGCTCCTGGCTGCCACTCTGTGGATTCCTGGGGTTGAACCCAGCAGGCCTGGCAGTAGCGGCTTTCTTCACTGCCAAGCATGCTCACAGGCCCTGATCTGTAGCATCCCACCAGAGGGCATTAAATGTGGCTTGGAGGAAGTCTGTGTGTCACGGGCCCCCCTGTCCCCTCTCTGGCCTAGCAGCCAGTGTGCAGGGTCCTTGAGAGCTCTGGCTGCTGGTGACAGGATAGAGCAGGGCCAGGTGCTCTACACCTTGCACAGGCAGTGGGCGGGCACTGTAATGCAGGACCAGCTCAGGCACGCTGGGGAAGGGCCCACTGTGCTGTCCTAGTACCACCTGGTTCTCCCGGGTCCTCGCGAATTTCAGGTGCATGGAACCCTGGTTGCTTCTGTGGGACAAGGCAGAGCATGGGTCCCCAGACCCACTAACCTCTCCATCTCTCCACAGGTGCCTTCCTATAGGTGCAGGTAGGCACTGGGCCTCCAGGGTCACCTCTGGCAGCCCCACCCAGAACTGACAGTCACAAGTTCTTGACCACTACTGTGTGTCTTTCCCTTTGAAGCTAAGTTCTGGGCCAGTCAGAGGGACCAGAGAGTGAAAGCACTTGCAGCCAGGCTTGATAACTTCAGTCTGATTCCTCAGGACCCACATAGTGGAAGGCAAGAACTGAACCCCAAAAGTCATCTCCTGACTGCCACACCCACATGCACACAAAAATAAAATAAATGTCTCAGCACTTGAAAGGTAAAGGTAGTCAGATTGCTACAAATTCAAGACTCAGGACTATCCTGAACTACATAGTGAGTTCTGGGGCAGCCACAGCTACATGGTAGGGCTTCCTCCTCCTCAAAATAAATAATTTAAATAAATACATTATTTATTTATTTAATGCCAGTACTTGGGAGGCAGAGACAGGCAAACTCTGTGAGTTTGAGGCCAACCTGGTCTACTTAGTGAGTTCCAGGCCAGTCTGGGGTCTGCAGTAAGACTACTTCCCTCAGTGCTCAGCCTGGCCCTGATGGCTCTCAGCTCAATCTGGATGTCACTTCTGTAGAGAATCCTTCCCCTCACAGCCTCTCATCTTCCACAATCCTAGTTAGGAACTCAAGATCTACGCAGGGCCCAGGTTCAACAAGGAGGGGACACTGGAATACAACAAGGAGGGGACACTGGGACAACAGATACTTAATTGATGTTGAGTCAGTGAAGAGACTGCTTCTGCTGCTGTGCCCCCTTTAAAATTTTTTAAAAATTTATGTACATATGTATGTTTGTATTATGTGTATGTATGCATGCATGTATGTGTATGCATATATGTGTGTATGCACATGTATGAATGTATGTGTGTATGTATGCATGTGTATATGTGTGTATATGTATGTGTGTGTATGTATGTGTGTGTTCATGCACGTATCAGGGGTACACATGTGGAGGTCAGAGGATACCTTGTGAACTTGTCGCAGTCTGTTCTCTCCTTTCATCATATCAGTCCTCAGATTGAACTCAAGTTCTTCAGGCTTGGTGGCAAGCACCCTTACCCACTGAGCCATCTTACCAGCCTGGATTTACTTATTTATTATTTTATTTATTTAATTTTTGTTTTGCTTTGTTTTTAGAGACAGCGTTTCTCTGTATAGCCCTGGCTGTCCTGAAACTCACTATGTAGACCAGGCTGGCTTGGAACTCAGAGAGATCCACCTGCCTCTGCCTCCTTAGTGATAGGATTTTTAATGCCACCACTGCTCAGGAAATTTTAGTGTGTGTGTACCTGCAGTACCCATAGTGACCAGAAAAGAAAAAAAAAGGTGTCATATTTCTTAGGGCTGAATTATAGGCAGTTGTGAGCCTCATGATGTAGGGGCTGAACCCAGGTCCTCCTGAAAAACAGCAAGTACCTTGACACTGAGCCTCCTCTCCAGCCCCCTTCTCTGTTTTTTGTTTGTTTGTTTGTTTTAAAGATTTTATTTATTTTATGTGACTATACTGTTGCTGTCTTCAGACACACCAGAAGAGGGCATTGGATTTCATTACATATGGTTCTGAGCCACTGTGTGGTTGCTGGGAATTGAACTCAGGACTTCTGGAAGTGCAGTCAATGCTCCTAACCTCCTAACTACTGAGCCATCTCTCCAGTACCCCCCTTCTCTGCTTTTATTAAGATAGTCTCATGTAGCCCAGAAAATCCTCCTGCCTGCCCCAACCCCGGAGGACGACAGGCCATGTGACCCTGCACTAGACCCACACTTTAGGTTACCCTTTCAGGCATCTTTAGGAACTAGAGCCTCAAACTCAAGTGCTTTTTAGAACATTCTGAGAATCTGTCTTTAAACAGACACTAACAGCACCATTTCAAGTTTTTGACAGGACATTCAAAAGAACTATAAGAACCTTGGGCATTGGTTCCCAGGACAACCAGAGGTTTGGATCTCTTGTTAGGCTTCCAAGCTCATTCCCTGTTGGACCCATTTAGTCACTGGCCCAGAAGCCCCACCCATCTGCCTGGAAAGCCCACCCACTTTCCAAAAGCCCCACCCACTGGCCCAGGATCCACGGCCACTACTGCTGGAGCTCTTCCCACTCTCCCCGAGCTCCACCCACTGGCCTGGGAGCACCAGCCCAGTGTGTCCCTAAGGCTGGGTCTCACCTGAGAGACAGAATGCAGTCCTGAGCTCTGGTCTCGCTGAGCCGCACGAGGTAGCTGCCTTCCTTGCAGAGAGATAGAAGGTTCTCAGCCTCTGCTCGGCTTAGGGGTCCATGAAACCACCTGGGCAGGGTAGAGATAGACACCTCAAGAAGGGCAGCAGACTTCAAGCAGCTGAGGGAAGTGAAGGGACAGGATCCTAGGGCAAAGCGAGACAATTTCCTTGGACATGATTAGTGGGGACCAGCCTGAGCTACATGAGACCTTCACCAAAGAAATGAATAAATGACTGAATGAATAAATGAGGCCCCAGCTCCCCTACAGATCAAAGAGTCCTAGGGGCCACCATTCCTCCAGGGACTGCACTCACGGCTGCTTCTCCAGGGCCAGGGCTGTATCCACGCGCTCTGAAGGCTGTGGTCTCCAGGGCTCCTTGGTGGAGCGTGGAGTCCGTTCCCAGTCAGGACCATCAAATTGCACTGGCAGAGGGTGGAGAGAGGTTAAGTCCCATTTGCTCAAGGGGCAGAGAAAAAGCTCTCCAAAGGGATTTCAGTGATGGGAATATAGTCTAAGACAGGACAGGATTGACAGAGGAGCTGAGATTGGTCTTTGGAAATGAAATGGCAAGGCCACCCAGAAATCAGGCACCATAGTAGGCAGTGTTTTGACTGACAAACCAGAGCACAGGGGGTGTGGCCAACAGGGGTAGGTTATAAGTTTGTAATCAGGGTTCCCTTCAGTGGTAAAGGTGCTTGTGGGGAACCTGGGCAATTGGAGCTTGATCCCCAGGACACACATGGCAGAAGGCAAGATCTGGTTCAAGTCATGATCCCATTTCTTCCCAACCTGGGTTATTTGATATTCTATAGGTTGTTCCTATTATCCCTTTACTTGATTTAGCAAGGAATTGTCTGACCCCAAACCCATCACTGGACAGCTCCTAAAATCCCCACTCTGCCTTTCACTAGCTCCTACAAACCTAGCCTATTCCAGTGCTGAGTCTACAATCACCCTGCTGGGTTGGTCCTATAATGAGCACAGGTTCCCAAGACCTCAGAAAACAAGTGATTCCCTTCTACTCTAGAAGTCTTTTCTGTTCCCCACAGTAGATATTTTCTCTGGGGAAGAACTGGCAGATGTCAGCAGCTCACACATTAGTGAGAGCTGAGGAACTGGAGGGAGGAGCCCTTGGAGGGGCTTGGCCTCAGCATACCTGCGAAAGCTCTGGAGATGTGATCTTTCTTCCATTCCCAAGGTTGGTCATATTCATCTTCTGGCCTCTCATCCTCCAGGGGCCTCCAGCTCTGGCCTGAAGACCCTCCATCTTCTGGTTTTGTATCCTGTTCCTCATATGGAGTATCATAAAGCTGGACAGCTCTGCTTGGCTGTTCTGGGGTGGGATGGAGGACACTGGTCACCTTCCCCTCCCAACAGGACATTCCCACACCCCCAGCCATGATTGCTCACCACTGGAGACGTTCCAGGAATCATAGGGCTCCATGTACCCATTGTTGGGGGCTGGTGGCTGAGGCTGGGCATCAAAAGGGTCTGAGTACTCAGTGTCTGCTTCCAGCTGCTGGGAAAGGCTGGGGCTAGCTCTGGATGACCCTGCTGTGAGATACTGTTCTTCCTTCCTTCCTTCCTTCCTTCTTTCCTTCCTTCCTTCCTTCCTTCCTTCCTTCCTTCCTTCCTTCTTCCCTCCCTCCCTCCCTCTCTTTTCTTTTTTTAAAAAAGATTTATCTAATGTCTATGAGTACACCATTGTTCTCATCAGACACACCAGAAGAGGGCATCAGATCCCATTACAGATGGTTGTGAGCCACCATGTGGTTGCTGGGAATTGAACTCAGAATCTCTGGAAGAGCAGTCAGTGCTCTTAACCACTGAGCCGGCACTGTACTTTCTGACTGCCCTTGCTGAGCCGTTTCACACTTTTCAGAGTTAGGCTGGTCAGGAAGTCTCACATGTATCCTCCTGTCCCTGCCTCACAATGGCTGCTGGGGTTTCAAGAACATGTTGCTACACTCAGCTCTTTAAGCAGGTTCTGGGAATTTGAATCCAGGCTTCTCTCTGATATTGTTCTAATACTAGCCCTTAAGCCCTTAGTAAGGACATAGGCCTATTTTACAGGTGAAGAAACAGAAGCAGAGAAAGGGTTAGTAACCTGGGCAGGGTCACACAGCTGGTTGAGTATGAGGCAGGCTTTGGTCCCAGTCTTATATCTCTGTGTTCCCTCCTCCTCTCATGTCTCCCTCTTCCAGAGATTTGTGGGGCAGGAGGATTACCAAACTCAACCCAACCCAACCCAACCCAACCCAACCCAACCAAACCAACAGAGCAGTGGTTCTGGACCTTCTTATTAACACTGCAACTCCCAACCATATCATTTTGTTGCTTCTTCATAAGTGTAACATTTTTATGAATTATGATGTTTTATTTATTATCTCTGTTTTCTGATGGTCTTAGGTGACCCCTGTGAAAGGGTCATTCCATCTCAAAGAGTTCTCAACCTGCAGTAGAGCAAAGTAAGGCATGCACCAAGTCCAGCTTCCATCATCCACAGCATAAACAGCGACTGTGACACATGCCTGTCATCCTGTAACACACGCTTCGGAAATGGAGGCAGGAGGATCAGGAGTTCAAACTCACTGTAGTTAGTTTGAGGTCAGCCTGGGCTACGTTGGACCAGGTCTCACACAAAACGAAAACACCTACCCTCTGTCTCTCTGAAGGGAGAATGGGCCAAAGGGGACGCTGGCTAGCCCAGAAGGTCTTAGACTCCCCAGGGGGCGGGGGATCAGGTCGGGGGGGGGTGTGTGATAGGGACAGAGCACCTGCCCGTGTCCACCACGCACCTCTTCCGCCGGGCTGTCCAGCAGGGCCTTGGCCCTGGCCATGTCGGCAGCTTCCACCTTGATCAGCCGGTGCCTGGGAGAATTGTACTTGGGGTCGCCGGACCCGGTGATCTCTGGCTCGGGGCGGCCATTGGAATCCTCATAGGGGTCCTCGAAGTCCAGGTTCTTCTGTTCGCGGTAGGCCCGCAGGATGTCACTCTCAGTGTAGTCGGGGGTGGGCGGCTGCGGAGGGGGCCTCCGGCTGCCCAAGTTCAAATAGTCTCGGAGCCACTTGGCCATTGGTGCCCCCAAAATATACTGGTGTCAAACAAGGGCCTCCATGCCGAGCTCTGCAGCTTGTCCTGGAACTGGGGGGAGAATGGATGGAGGGGAAAGAAGAGGAGGGGGAGACAAAAGGGGGAAGAAAAAGGGAGAAGAGAGAAGAAGAAGATGACAGGGAGATTGGAGGTCAGAAGTCCTTGGCTGGGCTCTGAGCAGAGGGGGCAGCAGGTGGCGACCCTGGTACTACAGAACCCTGGGTCTGTGGGAACTGCAAACTTTAGGGTCTGTGTGGCAGGTGTCGTGTCAACAGGGCTGTTCCACATTCCCACTTCAGCTCCACGCATAAAGTTGTCACAGGCTGAGCCACCCCAGAGGATCGTACTCCCTGTGGGGCTGCTGTCAGATCCCGCAGGCCCCACCGGTCCGAATTCCAGAAGTCCCCGAATCTCTTGACCTCTGATACTTCACCCCCCACCCCCCATTAGTTTTCCCTATCCTTTAATCTCTGAACCTCCGGATCCTTTAACTCCCCCTCCGGTATCCCTTAACTCCTGTCCCACACCACCCCCTGAATCTCTTAACCTCCCCATCCCTTAACTGTCTGCAACCCGCCACCGCACAACAAAAGGGACTTAAGCCACTGGGTCCAGGCCTGGGTTCTCAGGGCCACCGGAGAGGCGAGAACACCCGCGTTCCATCGGGCCCCGCCCCCGCCCCGCAGACAGACCTGCAGACCTCACACTTTCTGTGGCTCCGGGGTGGAGGAAGCAAGACCTGGACCCTGGAGGGTCCCCGAGGACGAGGCCACCGGTACGGGGACCGAGTCACCCTTGGGACCAGGGCCGGGCAGGGATTGGGCGAGAGGCCTGAGCATCGCGCAGGGTCGCGGCAGGAGGTGGCGCAGGGTGGGAGGCGTCGTCCGCGCTGCGTCCGTCGCTTTGTGCCGGGCGAGGGGGAGGGGCAGGAGGCTTCCGCAGCTGCGGGTCCACGAGTAGAGGGAGGGAGGTGGGCTCAGACCTCAAGGGCTGGAGATAGAGCTGAGAGGTCGAACCCCAAGGAAAGGGCGGGGAGTACTCAGCCAGAGTGACCCAAAAGCCATGGCCAACGAGCTGTATGCCTTAGTCTCCCCAACTGGTAAGCACTGACATTAGAGAGTTACTGCTCAGGGTATGTAGCCCAGGCTGGCCTCCACCTCAGTTGCAGCAAAGGATGATCCCAAACTCCTGATCCTCTTGCCTCAGCCTCCCAGTATTTAGGGATGACACTCCAGGCTTCGTGCATGATAGCCCTACCGACTGAGATGTTGAGGTTGGGGAAACTGAGGCATAGAAAGGCTGTGTGTGGAGCGATACTCAAGCCACTCACCTGTCCATCTGTGCCTGGACAGCTCGAGGATGGCACTGGTAGCTCACAGAGTGAGCACTCATCCTCTTGCCCACTATGAGCTCTGCTTTTCAGGCGGGGAAACTGAGGCCTAGAGCCAGCACGGTATCTGGAGTAGGCTGAGTCCCCCTGACCACACACTCCTATCTCTGTCAGGCAGAGTCCCCAGGGGCCACCAGATCCCGTGTGTGTGGGTGTAGTTAGCAGCTGGTCAAGAGGCTCCTTGCACGGAGCCTGACAACTGTACTCGTGGCAGGAATAGCATCAGGGGCCCCGAGGCAGAATAAAACAGGCACTTGACTTTCACCTCAGAGCCTCCTTTGGGGAGCAGGAGGGTGTGTGCGTGTGTGTGCGTGTGTGTGGGTGCATGCGTGTGCGTGTGCGCGCGCGTGTGTATGCATGAATATAAGAACAGAAGAAGCCAGAACTGTAAACTCTTCTTTCTGATGGGGGAAGGAGGATAATGGCAACTACCCTGGGCATCCCTTGAGGATGACTTGGAAGATAGGATAAGGGCAGCCTGTATCACACTGATTCCGGATTGTAGTTCACATGCTCTACCACTGCCCCTTTTAGAAGTACAACCCAAGAGCTGGGGGCAGCTGAGAGGGTAGTGTTGGCCCCCAGCACCTTAAACCCAAACAAAACCCCAGGGGAAAACATGGCATGAATGGATTCTACAGCGTATCACAAAGGCCATGTAACCTGCTGCACTGTAGTTCCAGAACACCTCACTTCCCTGTGCCTCTGCCAGCACTCATCAGTCAGTCCTGTCTCTGCCTTGGCTGTTCTGAATATCCCACCATGGAATCTCACACAGATTGTACCCTGTTGGTGGTATGGGATGGAACCCTGTTCTTGTTCAGAGCTGTGAGACTGTTCCATACCAAGGCATATATCAGCATTCAGAGTATACACTGGGCAACTGGGGCCTCAGGAAACAGCAGGATAAGACTCCCCACCCCTCAAATCTGGAAAGGGGAAGTATGCTAAAGCATGGGGGACATAAGGGGAGGCACTCTGGTCCATAGCAGGACTTTAAGGTCATGCTACATAGTGAGACCCACTCAAAACCCAAAAACCCAGGCATGTATGTGTAGGACCAAAACACTCTAGCTGACAGGCAGATGGGTCTTGCCCAACTGTGGTGTGGTGGCAGATGCAAGGCTTGCTCTCAGAAGCTTCCAGTCTGGAGGGTCCCAGCTTGAGGGAGGCTTCAGGATCCTGCCTTTACTGGTTACTAGAGTGATGGAAGTACACACTTGCTTCCTTGAGTTCACAGTCTGAATGAAGAGGCAAGTCACTGACTTTCAAGGTCTCCAGGCTGATGGAGGAAGCACAGCCTGACTGCAGGGCCCCAGTCTGGGGGTGCCGTCCAGCTGCTTCAATTTGGAGGGACAGTCGCATCTGGGACAAAAAAGACCTCTCAGATGCAACTGCAGAATGCCATCCCACCCCTTGCTATGCAGCTTTGTTACCCTGCAGGGACCAGACTTGTAACCAGCAGGCAGAGGGCTGGGGGTGGGTGGGGGTGGGGGGAGGCTGGTATAGCCAGTATCTGAATGCCCAGGGCAGGAGGTGGTTCCCTTTGCCAGGGGGCCCCAGGGAGCTGATGGAGGTGACAGATTAGACCTGACAACTGAAAATATGACAGCTACAGAGCTGGGGGAGTGGAGGTCAGCAGGACAGAGCTCCAGCCAGACCCCAGGATATCCCAGATCTTGGTTTGGGAAGCCCCATCCCCAATTCGGTGTGTGTGTGAGAGAGAGAAGGAAGAATCCCCATGGGAAAAGCAGACTCCAACACGAAGATTTCACATTTAAGATCAGGTTAGTGGTTTGGTCTTTGATCCCAGCACTGGTGAGGTAGAGAGCATGGCTAAGTAAGTCAGCTTCTCCACAGCCACACTCTGCCTGGATCACTTTGTTCTACATAACAGATTCAGCCTCAATATTATTTTCTTATCATCGTATCAGAACAGACTGATCTAATCCCAAATTCTGAATGAAGGACATATGCTGAGGGGCCTGGCCCAGGGCGTGTGGCAGAAACCCTAGGTATTAAGCTCTGGGTAGTGCCCTGCAGCAGGCAGGTTCTCTCCACATGCTCTGTTTTTCAGTTGGTTTTCCATTCTTTCTTCTTGCTTTTCACAGTACTTCTGTGTTGCACCTTGTGTATGCTTGGGAGCTGGCACCCAGGGCCCCTGGTCCCTGTCCCATGTCAGACAGTGTTCAGATCTGTGGCCAGAAGGGATCGGCCGACAGGCCCCACATAACTCAAGGACTGAAGGAGTGGAGCGGGCTGTGGGTGGTGGGTGCTGGGTGCTGGGTGCCTGGGGACATGGCTTCTCCACGCCCTGCCGGACCCACGGCAGAAGTGGTCCTGAGGCCTTGGCTGAAGGTGTTTGCTTGATCCCATCACATTTCTTGGGTCTGTGGTGCCACGGTGGGCACCACTGATGCTTAGCTGTCACTGTCCTCGCTGTCCCCATATGCACCCAGCTGGCTCAGGGAGGAGGTGCCAGATGTCTGGGGTGTACGGTTGGCCGCCTTCCTGCTCTCAGGGGCACCTGTGGGGAGAACAAGTCAGTCCAGGGAAGTGTGTCTAGCTTAGAGGGCCCTGTGATCGGTCACCCCAATCCTAAACTGGGCCAGAGAGATCCTGCCCAAGGCAGTTGAATGTCCACAGGACACTGGAAGACTGTCAAGGGTCAAGTGCTGCCAAGGGCCTCCATGACTAAGAGGGTGCACAGGGGAGGCTCCAATACTGGGCTTGCTGTGTGGCTTTCAGCAGTGGATAACCTTCTCTGTGCATTACAATCCGCCTTTGACAAATGTTAATAGCGGCAGTGACAACTATGTCAAATGTCTCTACATTTGGTGGAATTATTCAAACGCCATTAAAGGACACTAAAGCTGCAGGCCATATGAGCAGCACACTAGCTACACTATCTGGAGTCCCTTGATACTGTGAGACCTGTCACAGGGCACATTTAGCTATGATGTGACTTCAATTCCAAGCCTTTGCTCCCTTTTTCTTTTTTTCCTGTTTTTTTGTTTGTTTGCTTGTTTTTCAAGACAGGGTTTCTCTGTGTAGCCCTGGTTGTCTTGGCACTCACTCTGTATATCAAGTTGGTGTTGAACTCAGAAATCCTCCTGCCTCCTAAGTGCTGAGAATAAAGGTGTGCGCCACCACCACCCAGCTCCATTTTGGTTTTTGAGACAGTCTCATGTAGCCCAGGCTGGCCTTAAATCCCTATGTAGCTGAGGCTGATCCTAAACCCCGATCCGTTTACCTCCATCTGGTGCTGTGTGACAGGCTGCTGGGTAAGCCTCTGCCCACAGAGCTGCAGCCTCACTCTGGCCTCAGGCCTAAGAGTCAAGCCTCACCCTGCCCACCTCATGAACCCTTTCGACAGTACCAGATGCACTGTTGCCACCCATGGCTGCTGAGGGGGACTCACCAGTGGTGGTGGGCACCAGGACCTGCTCCGAGCACCCATTGGCTTCCGTCTTTACCTTCTTTGGTACAACTAAGCCTGCCAACTGTGCTTTGCTGCACAGGGCCTCTGCCCTCCTCTTGGTCTTTGGTACCTGTAGGGACCATGCACAGCTGTTGTCCTTCTGGCCTCCCTGACCTGGCTCTGTGGAACCAGTTTGTCTATCAAGTCTGCCCTAGCTCTAAATTCCTACCTGAGTCCCCATGGCCTGTCCTTCACCTCACACTTTGCACTTGATTTCTCATCTGCTACCCATTTTCATCCTGTGAACTCCTAGCCACCCCTCAATCCCTATCTCAAGCATCTGCTGTATGCGTGGTCTTAAGGAGTGTGTCTATCCAGTGTCTTGACCTCTCTTGATCAGTGTCTCCCTAGTGCTGGGCTAGGACCTTCCTTAGCCCAAGCCAGCATTAGCTCCCGGCACACAGCAGATGCCTCCCTAAATGCTGATGTGATAGACACACGCATGCTGCTGCTTAGGGCTCTGGGGTGTGAAGTACTGAGGTGTAATGTGCAGCCCTGTCACCCCAGCCCATGGGAGGCTCAGGCAGGACTGTGGATTCAAGGTTAGCCTGGGCTGTGCAGTGTGACCTTGTTTCAAAGAAAAATAAAGCAACTAGAACCAGAGCAAGTCTGGACTCCACATGGAAAGTTGGATGTGCCTGAGTAGAGGGTCCAGTGGGTCCTGCCTGGAGCACAGGGTGCAGCTTGAGTCTTCAGCACCCACAGAAGAGCTAGGCACAGCAGCATGAAGCTGTAGGTCCAGCAGGAGAGTCCTGGGAGTCAATGGGCCTGGCACACACAGCTGCCACAAGAGGAAACTCTTTCTCCTAGGGTGGAGAGGTGGTGAGGCTATCTGTTGACCTCCAAAGCCTGGAGTAATGTGCACTGGGACTCACAGCTAGATGCTATCTGCAGAGACTAATGCTCTGGAAGGCAGAAGAAGCTAGAACCTTCAAAAGCTGAGGCCAGGGCAGCTGGAGAGATGGCTCAGAGGTTAAGAGCATTGGCTGCTCTTCCAGAGGTCAATTTCCAGCAACCACATGGTGGCTCAGAACCATCTGTAACGGGATCTAATACCCTCTTCTGGTGTGTCTGAAGACAGCTACAGGGTACTCATGTACATAAAATAAATAAATCTTTGAAAAAAACAAAACAAAACAAAAAAAACAAAAGCTGGGGCCAGAGCTGCTGCAAAGTTCTGGATGCACCCAGGACTGTGATGAGACTTAGGGAGAGCCCTTTATCCTTCACAGCCTGTGTGCCAGCTTCTGGTTCTGTGGGCCTTTGTGCTGTGTACTATGCATCCATGTGGAGAAGCCAGAGGCTAACACAGCTGTCTCCATCAGCTGCTGTTCACCATGGTTTTGAGGCAGGATTTGTGATTTGTGTATTCCATCTAACAGCCCAGAACCCTTCTATCTTCTCTTTCCCAGCGCAGGATCCCAGGTCTGCTGGGCTTCATCTGGCTTTGGTTTTTGAAGCATGATGAGGCTGGCCTTACCCATGAGAGCCTCCCCCCCCCCCTGCTGTCCCTGCTCCCAGGTGCTGGGATTTAGGATGCATGTCAGCAGCATACTCAGCTTTGTACATGGCATTGGGCCAAGCCCCAGTCTTGCTTGTGGGGCAGGCGCTTGACTGAGGACCCTCGTTCTCGATGTTTCACTGGCTAGTCCCTCCCTCAGGTTCAGAAGCATGAAGCAGAGCAGAACAGCCATGCTGTGGGCTGTCTGTCCTGTTATGAACAATAGACCCACTGCCCATGATTTCTGTGGCCATTCAGCCTGGGTATGCACACCCTACACCCTGGCCTGGCTTACCTCATTGAGGATGGCTGTGCAGTTGGGTCTTGTAGCTGCCTGTGGTCGGGAAGGTGGAGCCTCATCCTCTGAGTCGGAGTCCTCCAGAAGCCTTCGATGGCGAGCCTCCTCCAGCAAGGCCCTATGGGATGGATATAGTGAGGATGTACTGCAAGGGGCAGTCTCCAGGGCTGCTGCCTCTTCCTGCTCTCCTGATGTTGGGGACAGGGGCTCCACGTTAACAATTTTGAGGGCAGTGGCTGAGTGGCTGAAGATGGCTGGCACATGGGAAGCCCTGGGTTCATACCCAGCACCACAAAAATAAGCAAACATATAGATGGGTGTGGAAGCACATGGCTACTTCCCCAGTACTGGGGGGTGGATGCAGGATGATCAGGAGTTCAAGGCCATCCTTGGCTACTTAATGATTCTGAGCCCAGAATGGGCTACATGACACCCTGTCTCACACAACAAACCCACAGCCATGGGACAGAAACAAAGAGCCAGAGTGATGGCTATGGGACAGTGGGTCTCAGGGGTCCCAGCAGCTGTGCTTCAGTAGAGTCTGAGGGGACAGGAAGAGGGGAAGGGCAGCTGTGGAGACATCCAGAAGGGCCTGGCCTGGCTCACGCGGTCTCACGCTCATCCTCTTCCTCCTGATGCCGTTGCCACTGCTCTTGAGACAGGCGGTGCTGCAGCAGCATGGCCTCGAAGTCCACATGCGCCTGCCGCTGGTTCAGGTCTTTTAGCTCTTGCAGGTTTTCCAGCACTTCCATCTCCAGCTTAGAGTCCTTTGTACGGTTCTCTAGGACCTGGGGACACAAGAGCTGGTGAGAGGGTGCAGGGGTGGGAGAGGGGAGTGCAAGGGATGGGGTGTAGGGACAGGTGACAAGTGCAGATGGAGAAAGGGGACATGATGGACAGGGGTGGCAGGTAAGGGGGCACCTGGGAGGGGTGCAGGGTGCAGGAGGAGTGCAGGGGCAAGGTGCTGTGGCCTAGGGCTCACCTTCATGGGGTTGTTCAGTTCCTCATCCTCTCGTTCCTTCTGCACACGCTTCTCTTCCTCCTCTAGAAGTTTCTCGGCCTGGAAGTTGCGTGTGGCTCCATGCTCCATGGTGTAGTCTGTGTTCTCTGGGTCTGTCTGTTAGGGCAAGGGCAGAAAGGGGAGGGGAGAAAATGGCTCCCGGGTGGTAGCCTGGGCCCCTTGTGTACATTTCTCTATTCCTTCTGCCAGTATCTGTGCTTACTCCTTTGGTGACTTTGGGCCTTTCCTCCCAATGCCCACATCCTCTGGAACATTCTGTAGCCATAACAAAACACCTGACTCTCTCATGGACTCCTATCCCCTTATGTACACTCTTGCACCTCCCTCCATCTTTGCCCACTCTGGACCTGTAGCCTTATGCCTCTGGGCTGTGGGGCAGTAGACAGTGCCACCAGACAGAAGAACTGGTAAGGTTGTACCAAGTTCAGAACCCCAATAAATCTTATAATTGAGAACAGCAGGAGTTCCAACTAGCTCCTGACCAAGTTCCTGCCATGGAGCATGTGACCATGACACCCCACTAAGAAGACCATGACAACAGGTCACATGAAAACCTAGAGTTATTCATGTTAATGATGTTATCTAGATAGGCCTGGAGTGTTTAGCCAATGAATTTCCCTTCCTGGGCATCTCTTTCTGCAAAAGGTTATTTAATCTCTGGCTCACCCTGAGTAAGATGTATGCATCCTCAGCTGGCATGAATAAAACAGTTTGGACAAGCCCTTGATCAAGGACTGCCACGGGGGTGGGGGTGGGGATGGGAGGAAGAGACCTTTATCATACAGAGCCGTGCCTAAATCTCTTGAAGAGTGCCCCTCTGTACATTTGGCACTTGGAGCCAAGTGGTATCCCCCAATCTGGAGCTCACTGCAGACTTGTAGACTCCATCTTGGACTCCATTTCACTTTCCCTGAGCAGTGTGTTGGCAGCCCCGTACTCCAGCAGCAAGAAGAACCGCAGCCTAACACCACTGGTTTCACACACCTCCCCCCCACCCCCAGCGAGCAGCTGCACACCCCAGCACTGAGGCAGAGACACAGAGTGACCATGCGCTGTGTGCTCATCCAGCTTTACCTTCTTGCTTACAAACTACAGATGACCCATGTGCTGTGCGCCTGTCTGGGCGGTGGAAGCAGGGGGCTATAAAGTGAATGAGGCTAGCCTGGGCTACAGAAGACTTTACTCAAAAATAAGGGGATGAGGGGCTAGATCCCTGGCTGCCACTGCAGAGGACCTGGGTTCAGTTCCCAATACTGACACGGTGGCTCAAAAACTCTGTTAAGTCCAGCTGCTGGGGACCCAACCCCATCCCTTGTGGTCTTCTTGGGCACCAGATACCCAAATGTTCAGACAGATACACATGTAAAATAAAATGTAACTTCTCAAGCTTATGTTTTGTGCACTTTAATCAAATCCTGTTTTTTTAAGCTTAAAAAAAAAAGCTTACAGGGGTTGGGGATTTAGCTCAGTGGTAGAGCGCTTGCCTAGCAAGCGCAAGGCCCTGGATTCGGTCCTCCTCAGCTCTGAAAAAAAAAAAAAAAAAAAAAAGGCTTACAGTGAAAAAACAAAAACCAACCAAAAAAACCAAAAAAACCCACAGCCTCTAGTGGTGCAGACTGGGAAGAGCACTCTTTCCCTTCTCCCATCTTTCCCTGAGTACTCAGGCCTTTGTGCCTGGGCAGTGGTTCAGGTAGAACCTAGTGTATGTGAAGCCCTGACCTCCATCCCAAAAAACACCAAGGAACAGAAGAAAATCATGAGTTTTACCCAAATGTGGTGGCATATGCCTGCCAGTCTAGCATTCTAGAGGTGGAGGCAGGAGGATTAGGATTATGGTCACCCCTGACTACATAGGAATTTGAGTTCAGCCTGTGCTACAGGAGACTGTCTCAATAAAGCAACAAGGCCCAGAACAGCGTGACTTTTCCTGATCCCACAACACATCCCACACCTTGCATACATGCAGGTGGGCAGGTTATTCTGTGTGGGTTCTGCTACAAGCACCTCCCCAACACTCGGTCCTTTTGTGGGGTGTCCACAGAGGGAAAGGTAATGAATGAAGCCCCTACCTTGAAAGTGATCTCCGCCAAGCAGCGAGTGCACTTGATGTAGAATCGGAAGATTGGCAGGCCCAAGTATGCCTCATTCTGGACTGTTTCCTTTCGTGCATTGAACTTCTTCCCCTTGTAGATGTATTCTCCACATGTCTTACATCTGCAGCCAGGGCAGGCACGTGAGTGTCTCTGCCCTCTGCTCCAGCACCCAATGGCAGCATACGTACCTTAACAGGTAGGAGGGTCTGCCCTGCCTGGGTGTACAGAGCTTCTGAGACCTGCCCAGGGAACAGCAGCATCCTGATGCTGGCTGCTCCTCCCTTCCTGCCCTGGCTTACTGCTGTTCCTACAAACACCTTTGGCTTCATCCTACCTCAGGGCCTTTGTTCTGCAGTCCTCACAGCCTAGATTCTAACACTTCCCTGACTGCCAACTGGCAGACTGCCGGCCCTGCCTGCGTCCTTGTGTTACTAGAGGATGGGTATGATCCCACCCCTCACTAGCGTGTGGGGGTCAGCAGGCTCCCGTCGACCCCAGCAATGACAGGTGCCTGACGACTGCCTGCTAGAGTGCGGTGGTGTGATGAGAATGATCCCTAAAGAGTCATATATTTGAATGCTTAGTTACCAGGGAGTAGCACTACTGGTAAAAAAAGGATTAGAATGCCAGCCTTTAATCCTAACACATCTCTGAGTTCCAGGACAGCTATGGCTAAACAGAGAAATCCTGTCTTGAAGAACCAAAAAAAGGGGTGGGGGGAGGAAGAGGAAGTTGACTAGGAGGTGTGGCCTTGCTGGAGGAAGTGTGTCACTGGGGGTAAGCTATGAGGTTTCAAAAGCCCAATGGCACATCCAGTGTTTCTCTTTCTACAACTAGTTCTCTAGCACCATGTCTGCCATGCTCCCCACAGTGACGATAATGGATTAGCCCTCTGAAACTGTAAGCAAACTCCAATTAAATGCTTTCTCTTCTAAGAGTTCCCATGTTCACAGTGACTAAAACAGGAGCAAACAAAGACATGAAAGACAAGATATAATCAACTAGTCACACAGACAGCTTCTCCATTCTCAGTCACTGACTGATTAGGACTCTCACACTAAGTCAAGTGTGCATAACTGTTTGATTCAAAGCTGGCTGAACCCAGGAAAGTGGGGGATGAGGTCCAAGGGAAGGCTGGCAGCCTGTCTGGGATGAGATAGGAGCCAGGCTCCGTCAGTAGAGAACCTAGTGACAGATCTCAGGCAGAGCCATAGGTGGTGCCAAGGCCCTAGGCAGGAGGAGGACTGCCACTAGAGGGTCCAAAATTCTGCAGGGCCAAGTGTCATTCTGACTGCCCACTGAGACCGTGTTATAGGGCTGGGGACTCTGTGAGGTTGGGACTCTCGTCCTTGTTCACTGTTTCTCCAGAGACTCAGCCTCTAGCCTCATGTCCCCAGGGATTCACCTCATATTGAATGGGGCCATCAGCCGCACCACATACTGCCGGTCCTTGGGGAGCTTGAGTTTCGGGATCTTCGATGGGTCAAAGTCAGGTGGATAGTATTTCTGTGGAGAGGAGAGTGTTGCTGTTTTCGGTGCTCAGATCCCATATGGGTAGAAGTGGGGTCTGGGAGCCATGTCAGCAGACACAGGATGCCCTGGTTTTAGGGATCTGCTCAGGATTCAGCTTGCTGGAGCCTTTCCAGACATGAGCTGTTTGAAGCACAGCCATGAGGAGAAGTTGGGACAGGGAGGAGGAGTGCACAAGTTTCCAAGACAGGTCTCAGTGTGGTGGGTCACTTTCTTGAGCTGTGACATGTCTTCCAGGGAAGGTTCTAGAGGCCCAGGGTTTGCAGTGGAGGTGGGCCCCTGCTGCCTAGCACATGGTAAGACTCTAGACACTCATAAGGAAATGGAGGCCGGACATAAATCAGACCTTGTCAATGGTGGTCTAGCTTACACTAGGGTACCACACAGGCTCCCAAACACCATCCCAGGGCAAAATCTGGCCAGCAAATCTCCTTAGGGAGAATAGGCTCTGGCCTCTTTGTGTGCTTGGGAGGGTGGGGTGAGGCACACAGGGACAACCACCCTGGGTTACAGGCATGTCAATGTCCAAACCTATCACCCAGCACCTGGGAATCTGAGACAGGGGTGCTGAAGAGAGACAACTCCTCTTCCCTTCAAAAAAGTAAAAAAAAAAAAAAGAAAGAAAAAAAGAAAAAAAGAAAAAAAAGAAAACTATGTGGATCACCAACAAGGAGGCATTCTGCTTTTAACACCTACTAGCAACCAGGCCCACGGGAGAGGAAGCTGTCTCCCTGTTTGAAGAAAGCTTTGCTAATTTAGGAGGTCGATAGGAATGATGGTGTACAGCTGTCATACTAGCACTTAGAAGGCTGATGCAGAATTGTGAGTTTATAGTTAGCCTGGGCAGTGCACACAAATGTGGTGCACAGACAGACACGAAGAAAAAACAAAATGAAAATAAACAAATCCTTTAAAAAGTGAATACAGCCCAGCGCAGGTGTACAGGCCTTTAACCCCAGAAACTGGGGAGTCTCAGGAAGGTGAGTCTCTGAGTTTGAGGCCATTCTGGGCTACACAGTGAAACCCTAACTCAAAACAAACATTTAAAAAACAGATCCAGGAGCCGGGCGGTGGTGGCGCACGCCTTTAATCCCAGCACTTGGGAGACAGAGGCAGGCGGATTTCTGAGTTCGAGGCCAGCCTGGTCTACAGAGTGAGTTCCAGGACAGCCAGAACTACACAGAGAAACCCTGTCTTGAAAAACCAAAAACCAACCAACCAAACAAAAAACCCCTCAGATCCAGGAAATGGTGAGCAAAATTTTTCAAGAGAGGAGTTTGAGTCACCCCAGAAGCCCCAACATGGTGTAGAAAACGTTGCAAAAGGTTTCGGATATTCATTCAACAAAAGCTGGGACAAACTGAGGCTACCAACAACATTCCCTGACCTGGGGGCAGCCCACAAGAAGCAGTCCCGCCCCTAGAAAAGCGAACCCATAGTTCCCTTTGAAAAACCCAATCGGACGAAGTGACGTAAGCGCCGCTTCCCTGGTGTTGATTGGAAGGAAAAAAAAAAGCTAACGAAGGAAATGGCCGGAAGGAAGCACGCCTCTCCCAGAGCCCTCGCACATTACACGCTCTGTAGAAACATCTAGACTCTGAGCACTTACGTTTAAAACTTTCCGTTCCGACATCTTCGCTTCCTGTTCAACGAACAAGCGAAGAAGCTATTCTCTTAGTCCTCCTGGAGTTTCTCCGATCAGGCGCCGCCGTGTCGCCACTTCCTCAGCCGTCTTACTGGGTGCTGCTTACCCGCTTTACCGTTCTCATTGGCTGCAGTCTTTGTCGATCCAAGCCGTGAGTGCGATTTCGTTCCCTTCCGAGTGCCGGTAGGTGAAGCACTGTATAAAGGTTCCGGGACTTGTGGATCCCGTGCGTACACGTCTGTTGCACTGGAAGGATGGAGAAAACTCCCTGGGATAATAACATTTTCTCTCGCACCATTGCTCTATTGATGCTGTTTGTTTTTGACCCAGGGTCTCACTGTATGTCCCCTGGTTGTCCTGTAACTCACCATGTAGCCCAGGGTGGTCACAAACTAACGGAGATTCTCCTGCTTCTGAGTTCTGGGATTAAATAATTAGAGGCCACCATGTCCCGTTCTGGTGTTCATTCCGTCATTTCGGGTCCTGGGGATGGAACCTATGGTCTTTGCATATGCCAGGCAGGCACTCTACCACAGAATACCACCTCTCACTAAGATGCCCAGGCTGGCCTGGGACTGACTCTGCAGCCCAGCTTGGCCTTAAATTTGAATCAGTCATACTGCAAGCCTCTTGGAGTAGCTGGAATCAGTGACTTGCTTGGTTTTCATTGTGTTATGTTGTGGTTGGTGTGTGTGTGTGTTTCTTCTTTTATGAGAGGAACTCACCACGTAATCCAGGCTGGCTTTGAAAACTCAGTAATCCTCCTGCCTCTGCCTCCCAAGTGCTCGGTTTATAAATAAGAGATACTATGACCAACTCTTTTTACTTTTTCTTTAAAAAATAGTTTCTTTGCAGTTGTTTTGTTTTTTTGAGACAGGGTTTCTCTGTGTAGTGCTGGCTGTCCTGGAACTCAGTCTGTAGACCAGGCTGGCCTCTAACTCACAAAGATGCGCCTGTGGCTGCCATGAGTGTTAGGGATTAAAGACATGCACCATCACTGGCAGGTTTAGTATCGTTTTTACATTTGTTTATTTATTATTCGTGCATACAAAATATGACAAACCCCAGTATTGAGCCCAGCCTGTGACCTGGGTATCCTAGGCAGGGGCTCCACCCCTGAGCCCCACCCCCATCGCTCCTCCTCCTCCTCCTCCTCCTCCTCCTCCTCCTCCTCCTCCTCCTCCTCCTCCTCCTCCTTTTGGTGTTTTTGAAACAGGATCTCTAGCCTGGGCTTTAGCTTGCCACCATTCCTCGATATCCTCATTTCAACAAGGCTGTACTTCGTCCTGTTTGGCTCTTAGCTGGGAAAACAGGCACTAGATATGTGTCCCCAACATTCTCCTTCAGGTAGCTCCTGCCCCATTTCCTTTTGCAGGGCCTTGCACCTTGCTCTACCCTCTCTCTTTCTCCCACTTACATGCTCCCTAACCCTCCCCCCTTATGCACTGTACCATGTGGTGTTCCTTCTGGAAGCTAGCACCATTCTGTGTCCTCCCAGGCTCCTGACCCTTGAGCCACACTAACTTCTTTTTGTCATGAAGGCCTTGTTTGGGTGCCTGTGGAGATGACTCAGTTGGTGAAGCCTTGGAGATATGAGGTGCTGAGGTGTGCTGTGTTCACACAAACACAGACAAGTCCCAACGTCACTCACTCCATGGATACGATGGAGAAACAGGGTTAAGAGGAAGGGGCTCTTGTGCTGGAGCATAGGCTGTTGAAGCTGAAGACCCAGCAGCCACACTTTGTACCTGTTACTCCTGCTTCAGGGGCTCTGGCGCCCTCTTCTGACCTCAGTGGGGACTGCACATACCACCAGACATTTGAAAATAAAATTAAAATATTTAAAATTTAAAAATGGACAAAGAGGAATCTTACTTTTTGGTTTTTTTTTTCAAGACAGGGTTTCTCTGTATAGCCCTGGCTGTCCTGGTACTCACTCTGTACACCAGGCTGGCCTCGAACTCAGAAATCTGCCTGCCTCTGCCTCCCAAGTGCACCACCACTGCCCGGCTATGAATCTTACTTTTAATAGTACTTCTTATTGGGTGGTTGTGCATGTCCTTAATCCTAGCACTTAGGAGGCAGAGGCAGGCTATCTCTGTGAGTTCAAGGATACACTGGTCTACAGAGCCAGTTCTAGGACAGCCAGGGTTACACAAGAAACCCTGTCTTAAAAAAAAGAAAAAGATGATGATTCTTATTTAATTGGTTTTTCTAATTAAATTCCATTTAAAGCTCACAAAGCCCCGCACTGATGACACGAGAAAGACCACCCCACAGGTTTGGAAACTGAGGTCTGGAGAGGTCAGGTGGGTTACTCAATGCTTCGGAGCAGCCGGCTTCATGCAAAGTCAGGATTGGAACTCAGGACAGGCCACTCAACCACCTCAAGTAGACGACATCAGACTCTGATTTCAAGGATCCAGTCCCTCTTCAGAGCTTCTGGGGCGCCTTCTCTACTTGCCCAGGGAGGCTCCAGTCACTTGGTTTCCCATAATCTGTGAGGTCCTGGGCTGACACCTGGATACAGTACTTGGCATGGGGTTTCGCGTTCCTGAGGGTGAAAGTCGTGGCTTCAATGGGTCCCACCTGTGGGGAGAATGAGTGTCAGGCCACTGCAAGGAGGAGGTTGGAAGGACCACAATGCATTGAGGAACTGGGGAGCTGGCTTGGTGGGTAAAGGGCTTGCAATGAGTTCGAATTCCCAGCAAGCAGGTAAAGCCTACTGGTGAATCCCACCTGTATCCTCTGTGCTCCCACAGAAAGGCGATAAGCGGAGACAGGAGATTACCCAGTGGGACCCAGTCTCAACCAGCATCCACCCCTGTGCTCCGCGTAACTCCTCCTTCTTCCAGACCACGCCCCCTCCCGCGCACTTCACCTGGCGGAAGTGAGAGGCTCCTTGGCGCCGGTAGCGGAGTCGGTACTTGAGAGAGAAGATGTCCGGGAAGGGCCAGGAAGCAGGGGGATGCCAGAGCACCTGCAGGCGCTGCCCCGCTGTGCGCAGGCGCACACCTTCCGGCGGGTCGGGCTTGACTGGTGGGAGCAGGACCTGGGTCAGGGTCGGCTTTACTGGTTCATCCGTCACACACTAATTCCTTCATTTGTGACCTGCTTTCACCCTCAGACAGCTAGTCACGTATTTCTCCGTCCTTCCATTCATTCATACTCACACCTCATTCTTTCACTCATTCGCTAAATTCTTCACTAATTCATTCCTTTACTCACCATCTCACTCACACATTTATTTATTGTTTGATTCAAGTGCAGATTTGTGCCTGGATTCATTAACTCATTCATTTACACTTATCATTTATACACTCACTCATTCAGGGATTTATTTCCACAGTCATTAGGTCATTCACTCATTCACTCATTCGTGAATTCATTCATTCACTCCCTAATTGAGTCATTCATTTGTTCATGCACTCAATCATGTCATTCATTCATTTACTCATGTCCTTCATGTATTCATTATGCCTTATGTCAGTTATGCCATTCACTCATTCACTAAGTCATTCATGCATTCATTCATTCACTAAGTTGCCTGTGTTCACTTATGTCATTTATGCATTCAATATGTCAGTTAGGCATTCATTCTCTCACTATGCATTCATTATGTCAGTTATGCATTCACTTATTCATTATTAAATCATTCACTCATTCACTCTATTAGTCATGCATGCATTCATTTATTCCTTCATTCATCTATCTGCTCAAGGAAAAGCATTTGCTGAATCACTCTCATCACTGCTGATGGAAGTCACAACAGGCACACAGGCAAAGACATGTTCAGAGTGCAAGTCTCCAGTGGGCTGAAGGGCTTTTCTGAGATACAATTCTGATAGCATAAGTCTGTGCTAGCAGACATCCAGTGCATCCGCACAGAGCATTTCCATCACTCCACCTGCTTCTAGAACATGACAACACATGCCATCTTCCTGTCCCTGTCTGGTACTCTGCACTCACAGATCTCCTGTCTCTAGATTCCTCTGCACTGCAGCCCACTCTGGGCTGCTCACTGAGTGGGGTGTCCTCAAGGTCTCACCACAGGGGTTGGTGCCAGAGCCTCATTCTTCTTTAGGGCTGAGTAATTTTCCTCCATGTAGATGAACATCGTGTGTCCATCTATCCATGGGAATACACGGGGCACTGGTCTTCTGGATGCTGTGAATAATGTTGCCAAGGATTTGTAGGTATGAACATTTTTGTTTCTGTTGAGCAGATACTTAGGTGTGGAGTTCTGAGATTGTGTGGAGACTTCATGTTTAAACCCTTGAGGGCTGTGTAGCCTTTCACGGACCTGTATCAGCTTTGTTCTTGGCTTTCTTCTCTGAGACAGGTGCTCAGGAGTGACCCTGACATGCCCTGTACGTGATCTGTAGACCAGGCTGGCCTTGAATTCTCAGAGATCTGCCTACCTCTGGGATTAAAGACCTGTACACCACCCCTGCCTTTCATCCTCTCTTAACTGTGACTATTGCTTATGTTTAGTGATATACTTTTGGGGAGGCCTCACTGAGGAGTGTTTAATGATATACTTTTGGGAGGTCTCACTGAGGAGCCGACACTGGCGTAGAGACCTAAGAAGGCCAAGGAAGGAAGCATTGCAAAGACCCTGGGGGAGGATGGAGCCTGAGGTGTTGGGGCAGCAACAGGAGACCTGTGAGACTAATAGAGCCAAAGAATGGAGGCTGCAGGGACCAAGCAAGGGGGAGGGGGGGAAGGGAGGGAGGAGCCATGGGATGGAGAAGGAGGAGAGGGGCAGGGAGGACAGACACTTACTGATTTGTTCAGCCACAAAGGCTAGGAGGCTGCTGCTGACACCACCAGGGTGCACTGCAGTGACATTTAGCATGTAGGGCACTGTGGAGAACAGGTGCACGTGGGGGATGGTGCATTGGGAGGCCTGGGGTGTCCGTTGTAGGCAGGGCTGGCTCTGCTGTTGGGTGGCCACACCGAGACTGCATGGGAAGTACCATGGAGAGTCATGAAAAGAACCTGGGTGCTGGTAGGGCCCCAGGTCACCCACAGCTGACCTTGGGTCACACTCAGGGGGTGACATGCTCTGGGGGACATAGGGGCTGTGGATTCTGAA